TGGCGGACGATGATGTGGACAGCAGTGTTTATGTTTAACCATCTTGAAAAGATTGTGTTTTTATGGTTGGGAGAGATCGCTAGATACGCTCCGGCGCTACCATCCATGTTTACTTCCGTTAACACAGAGCATTCCGGCCTGTGATGTCACTGCGTCATCTACTGCGCATTTGTTTGCATGCCGGACACTTGCTGTCTGACTGAAGTTCACACAGGAGATCACATACTAGTCAATGTGAACGGCAACGCAAAAGTAATCGATTTTTACAAAAAAATCGGAATTGAGCATCAAGGCCTGCAGTGGGAACGTAGCCAAACTGATCTCTCCGCCCGCTTCGTCCAGAGGAGGTATATGAGGAGAGGGAAGTCTGGGCATCTCTGCTGAAATGGCTGCCCCTGCTTCCCAGTTCCCGATTAGAGGAAGATGACAACTAGGAGTAGAATAAACACCTGATGTTCCAAACATGTTAAGCTTAATCATCTCCCCTTCAGGGGGGAATCAAACCATTCCAACTGACCGAAGACATGACTGGCATGTCGCTAGGACCTCTGTGACCTCACAACCCACCAGATATCGCGTCCATGTTAGCCGTACTGTACAGCTCCGATAACTTTGGAATTCACATTTTTAATTCCTGGTAAACAATAATTACCTTAACATGCACAAAATTTCCCCCGATCCAAACCTTGGTTGATCAGAAATTCAAAATCTCTGTTTGCATGGAAACTAAACAAAAAGATCCGGTCAGGATTTGTGCATGCATGTACAGAGCGTTCGATCAGATTTAATCGTTTCAGTATGCGAGGAACCAATTTTCCTGCAGAACTTTAGTAGTAGAAGAAGAAACAGCCTGTTTTGGGAACAAATGAAGTAAATGGCTCATCCTCAACTTTAGCTCCTCTTCATGCCGGCCTCTCACCTTTCAGTTTCTCCTGTTGTGTCTGTTGATATATATTTTTTTCCATTATCGACCTTCCTTGCATCCAACATTTTGCTCATATTAGTTAAGGGCTCAGCAGTAACTTGCGCTCCAGCATTAGAGGGCAGGATGGCATTTTCATCCTCACCTTACATTACAGCCACCTCCTCCACAGAGGACCAGCAGCCAGAGGATGAAGGTTAGTAAAAAGAATAACGTCACGCTGGTGTTGCTGGTTTTGCAAACATGGAGATTATTTCACTCCAAAGATCTGAATGGCTGTTCACAAAAACCACCTCTCTCCTTTGGAAGGAAATGTCTTTCTGATCGGACCGAATCAGATCAGAGTCATCAGTCTGTTCATGTTCCTGATCTTATCAGGCTTTCAATAGGATATTTGTGTCCATGTTAGTGCATGTTATGCATCTATTTTGCCGTTGAGCAGTTTCTATCCAAAGCCAGTCACAGGAGACCCTGAGAATGGCTGTTTGAACCACTAATTAGCGCTAACTGTGTGCAGAAGGAGCATCCAAACCCGGGGCAGCCGTTCCAAGGAGCGTCCCGTACAGCCTACCTGCCGGACTCCCCAGAGGGAAGGGAAGTCCTGGGTCTGCTCTCTAAAGCCTTCAACCAGAGGCTCATCTTCACCATCGGCCGATCCAGCACCAGTGGCAGGAACAACATGGTGACCTGGAATGATATTCACCACAAGACGTCGATGGATGGAGGACCAACCTGGTAAGGACTCCATGTTGCATTTAGCACTTCTCCACTGCTTGAAGGTGTTAAAACATCCATAACTAACTATTATCCAGGCCTCGTCCAGGCAGAGGTTTAGTGAGGATGTAGATTAGTGATCATGAGGTTTTCTGTGTATATGTGTATATATATTTTATCTCTTTTTATTCTTATTTTTTATCTTATTATATTGTATAGTTGGATGTGTGTATATATCATGTAAAACTGTAACTAGAGCGTGTAACAAAAGTAATTTCCCTCTGGGATTATTAAAGTATTTCTGATTCTGATTCTGATTCTGTCCTTCTGCCTTAATCTCCTCATCATGAAAAAGCTGCTGTTTCCTACGACGCAGTATTAGGGCCAGGCTAGAGATATTATTTTATACGGTAATAGTCATAATATTATGATAATAATGCAACATAAAGTCGCAACATTATCAGGATAAAGTTACAATATTATGAGTATAAAATTGTAGTTTATGACAACTCTTCCAAGAAGCTCCGTCTTCCCTAAAAGGAGGAATGTCGACTGTCGTATGA